CATACATACATACATACATACATACATACATACATACATACATACATACATACATACATACATACATACATACATACATACATACATACATACATACATACATACATACATACATACATACATACATACATCATACATACATACATACATACATACATACATACATACATACATACATACATACATACATACATACATACATACATACATACATACATACAGACAGACAGACAGACAGACAGACAGACACACACACACACACACACACACATACATACATACATACATACATACATACATATATATATATATATATATATATATATATATATATATATATATATATATATATATATATATATTGCTTAGCTTCGAAACTATTACATTTATCGCTTTTTAGATTGTTTGCCTGCGGATGTTTACCCAATAACAATATATTTTTGTTGTGGGGGAAATAACCTAAAACATGAATTGTTTTGCTTTGTCCTTCGTAATGAACATGATTGTATGTTTATGGTCATCCACACAGACAGTTTATTATCATTAACACAGACATTTAATTGTGTGTTATTTTCTTACAGCAAATTGGAGTGAAGTCAGATGAAATTGCAAAAGGCTTTTGTTTAGGCTGAGGTTCTAGCACACCTGAAACATCAATTTTACAGAGTTATTCTAATGTTGAACTCAGTGGGTGACATTATACATGCTAGCTGTTCATGTCCAGCTGGGTCTGGTCCTAACTCCACGTACAAACCTACCGCTGCACTGTGTTATGCAATGGAAGATTTTGTAAAGACGTTTGGGCTTCCAGAAGACATTCCATCATGTACTGTTATGTATGTCTTCAAGTTGATGGATAGTGCTATAAATATTGCTACTCTAATGTACAAAGACATTATATAACAATAACATCAATTGTAGCAGAAAGTCTTTTAATTTAAAGTATCCTGTTTCCTAAAATTTCAATTTCGTTTTAGATAAACTTGAGGCTTGGAACAAGAGAAGACATGTAAACTTCCAGCAGTTCCAGCAATATAGACTTTACAAGAACACAGCATGGAAAAAGCAAACAGAACCTACCATTAAAAATAGAACAACCGGAGGCTTACAAGCTTAGCATAGAGTGTGACACAGAAGAAGCTTATGCAGAATCGTTCCTCGTGAATTATAGCAATGGAGTAAAGAATCAAAGCACAGTAGACAGTTCCTAATAAATACAGTTGCAAGTCAGCATGGTTCAATTGAAACATTGGTATCTATAAATCCATTATATGATTATGTGGAGAAATTAAAAGGAAAACTATAAGTGATTTATCTCATTCAGATAGCATCACCAAAACGCAAAGTTAACGAATTGTTTAAAATTCACCCGCGATCAATAACTAATTATTCAAACATTGCTCTTATACAAAGCAGGTTGTCTGATTGTCTTATTTTGAGATAATTCCAAATAACCTGGGTACTAATTTTATCAAGTCACACGTGACCAAGTTTTAAACTTAATAAGTAACCGTCCAAGCATGACTAAAAAGGATTTGAAGAACTATTGTTTTCTAATCGGGTTTTACCTTATACAATAGTAAGGGTTTACTTTGTTAGCTAATCATCAGTACCCTGCGGCTACAGTACTTTATTCCTCCATCGTAACTTTGATCACGATGCGAGTAACTCCCAGGCTCCTGGTGTTTTACTGTAATCTGCTCTCCATTTTAATACCATAAAGGGCATGGTATAAATTTGGATGAAAAACGGTCCGCCATGAAAATATAGAAAGCTAAGTGCTAAAATAACATTTCAAAGATATTAGTCCCATTAGCGTTTACTTATTGCATGTTAGAATGCACCTAATCACAAAAACTGAATATCTTTAATTTTAATCATGTTAGTTCAAGTGAAGCATACTAATTACCAGAAATTGAATAAAATTTTGTTTGTTTTTAAATATAGCTTTATTGTTTTCTTTAAAACCACAGACGAAACCTACAATCAGTCACTTTAAGAATACTACACGAATACAATGATTTATACAACTAGTGTAAACTGGATCAGCCCGATTAAATACAGGCTTATCAGGGTTTATATCTATCATCAATTCTTCAGGTAGACGTTTGCCCATCATAAACTCATAAATTTGCTAAAATGAGTGTGTGTGTGTGTGTGTGTGTGTGTGTGTGTGTGTGTGTGTGTGCCTGCGCGCGCGATTTGGATTATTGACGTAGCTTTAACAATTTTTCAGTCATATTGCTACGATGTATGCACTGTGGAAGTTTATAGTGACGTCTAGCATTGTGGCATCATGCCGCAGACATGTAGCATGGTGTCCCACACAGTCACATTATCCTGACACCAGGCGAACCAGTCTTAACACTGACAACTTAATGCTGATCGTTAAGCGAGGCAGCTGTTAGTACCATTTTTTGTCTTTTGTATGACCAGGCCGGGGATCAAACCCACGCCCTCCCACATCAGAGGCGGACGCTCTAACCACTACACCACCAGATGTAATAGATGTCATCCATAAGAAGTATGTACAGTATTGGGATCTTTTTGTTTTAGCTTCGAAAATGAACATTTAGCCTGGCGAGCATTATATATTTTAACAGTCAAGCTGTAAAATGTTTCCCTGAATCGCGGTCATAAAAGTTTAACTGTTTGCTCTCTTCAGATAAAAATGGTGGTCTCTAACGAGTTATTCCTTTTCCTTGAATTAAATCTTTAATCAAGAAACCTTTATCAAACCTAAGACCATCGCCACATTGTAGTTTGTGTACTATATTACATTGTCCAAATATTTCCTTCTCAGATGACGTGCCACCAAACATATCTGAACAGTGAATTAAAGTTCAATTTGAGGCAGAGGTGTACATAGCTTTGACAGTATGACAATTTTTGTAATTTACAAACGTCTGTTTTCCAGCTATGTGACCTCTTGGGACCTGTGTTCTAAATTCTAGATCTGGAAAATGTTGTTTTGTTGACAATATCATGCTTTTCAATATTGCCCTTTAAAGGCCATATTTAAATAATAATTTTCTATATATTCGTTTAATCTAGAATTTAAAACATTCAGACATTCTGCCTGTAGACATATTAAAATCAGAGACATTATCTGACTATATGATTTCGTTTCAAATTGTATAATATAAGAAGTTGATTTACTGAATCTATGTGCGAAAACATTTTGTTGAGATCACCATGAACAGGGATTGACTCAGATTATATATGAGAACAACAAATCAGTAAATATTTGTGGAGTAAAGATAAAGGTTTGTAATATTCAATACCTGTATATCGTTTCAGTTCCTTGTCTGATGTTTTTACGTTCTCATGTTTTGAAACATTTAATTTTTTGGACTTTTTTATTTTATCTTGGAGGCTGTCTAAGTTGTCTTATTAGACCGGAGACAAAATGAAGTTGGTGTGTTACATGACAAGGGCTAGTACTCAGTAGCAAAGAAAAGAGTGGAAGCCGACAAGCTTTGTATATTTCAAAAAAAAAAATTTTATTTCCCTAGACAACAATGTAAGTTTGTGAATAGGTCTTACAGTTGACTTAAAGTCAACTTTTTGACTGTCCATAATTTGTGTTATTGAATCCAAAAATCAGATGAAAAATAAAATATTCTGGCAACAAATTTAAAATAAATACATAGATACGCCTTGTTCCTTTAAAGTTTTGAATGGCCTAACCAGTATAAAAATTGGTATGGGTATTTACGTTCAAAAATATCATTTCAAATCTCGCGAGATTGGTCATGTGGTCTCTTATTATGCTATTTATGTTACGTCCGCAGTACAGACCGACTTAAAAACCAATCATAAAAATAGGTGGTTTATTAACATTGATCACGTGGAGAAAGTATGTCCGTGATGCTGACCAATCATTGTAACTTCATGTTGTTGTTGTTTAACAATGTAAGGCGAACTAAATGCCAACCCTCACGTACTACTATTTTGTCTTTAATAAAAAAAGCTTGTGCTAAATAAGGTAAGGCGAACTAATGCCAACACTCACGTACTACTATTTCGTCTTAAATAAACAAAGTTTGTGCTAAAATTATATGTCACTACTAAAATAGAATCCCGAAGCTGAGCAAAATATTCATTGCAATTAAATACAATGAAACAAAAATAAAATAAAGAGAATTTTGAACCTTACCCCCAAAGCAATTCAATCACATAAACGTAACAGGTGTTTCAATTTGTTTCTCTGCACCTATACTATTGTATGTACTCGATGTTGCTGGTCTCTTCTGTTTGGGGGTTACTTATATATAATTATATTTGGCGGGGGATCATTGTATTGCTATGAAAACTTTGTTTTCTTTGGTGTGGCGTGTCGTGTAGAGTCGCTGAATAACTTTCTTTTTCTTATTTGAGATAGGGTCCATCGTGGAGAAGGTAAGGGAGTAAGTAAGGACAGTTGCGAAATGATCAGATCACCTGTTAAAAGAAATAAAGATATAGCAATGCACCTCTATAGTAAAGAGAACCTGAGGATATATTTATTGTGTACCATTAGCCAAGCAAGGATGTGCTTTAATAACAGTACATAGGTGAGCTTGTCATCTAATATAAAAGGATCTAGCTAACAGCTACAGAAATAACTAGAGCCAATAACAAAAATTTAGGAACACAATTAATACCATCTCTTTCAAATGATTAAAGTGACACTTCAGTAAACACAAATCTATGGATCTAAAAGAGTTTATATAAAACGGTAGTAAACAAATCAAGGACGATTTTAGAAGCGAATGGAAAAATTTACATGACAAAATTCGTTCAGACATTCATTCTAGAGATGTTAACTTAGCTAGACTACAATCAAAATTATAAAGATGCAAATAGGAAGAAAAGAAGTTATCAAAAGACAAGTTGACCTTCACAATATCACTCAGGGATAAGAATAACCAGCTGGAAAATTTCAAGGTTCACCAACTGATTCTACATCAAATGCTATGGGATAGAAGATGCAATAAGGATAAAGACAATATAAATATCAAAATCTCAATTCTAAAAGAAAGAAACGAAAATATTAATTTGTGTACAACATATTGAAATCTCTAGTTATTGGAAGATAAAAACATCCAAATTTAAGCTAGTGCTTTGATATTGATTGGAGTGTAGGAGAAGCGTGCTCCAATCAATAATTCATATCCTGAATATAATAAGGACATTGAAATGAATTTAGATTAAGCATTTATTATTGTTCAGCTTTCACTTGGTAATGGAAAAAGCCTAATTAATAAGCCAGTTCAATCGGATAGAAGTCAAATGATGTTTTATTGCACCATTCAATCAATAAAACCTTATTAGATTTCGTTGTGAAGTTGGGAACAAAGTAATTGATAATCACCATAGGGAATAATTAAATTAATTAGGTTTACAATGTGAATGACCACTGGAAGGTTATGGACATGATCCAAAAGGTCGTTACTTGGAAAAATACCGTCCACACTCACACTCTACCCCCCCACACTAAAACTTGATATAAAGTTAAACCTGTCCTTGGAAAGCACGCGAGAAGCACGCGTCATTTTAGACAAATATCTTTTGAGACTGGATGTAGCACTTGTGATTAGGCAGCTTCCAGAATATAAAAAGGCTTTGAGCTGTTTTATTATCAGTGCGGGTCCATGCTCAAAAGAGTATTATGTCTATTTCTTACAGCGATCCCACCTCTTCGCAGCCAAGCATTCCCCACAAAAAGATGTAACCGTATCTACACCATTATAAGTGACACCTTATTCTTATGAATGCTGAACTTTCTGCCTTCTCGAACTAGACACGAGAAGCGATCCTTACAGTTATTGAATTTGAAGTGGTGGAAAATGACATTCCTTACAGTTACCAACCACTTTCTATCATAATATAGTGGTGGACGAATAACAAGAATAAGTGTCATGAATTATTATCTAAGAAATAGACTATTGCCGAAACTCTTAATACCATCAGACTTTCCTTCGCCTGGCTCTGCGAGACTGACAACATCCGCAACCGCACCTCTCTTAACACCATTAGACTTCACTTCGCCCGGCTATGCTACATCAACTCCAGAAGCGACAGCGCCGCCATATTCCAAAGAGAAAACCCAAATTAGAACAGCCGCACTCATTTTAGACACTACAGCAACCAGAAATATCACAACGGAACGAATATGATTACAGCTATGAGAGGATCGCAACAGAAAATGCATACATCGCCTATGAGAATTCTTTTTGCAGTAACACCTGAGACTACGACATTCCGAATGCATACAGTGCTAAGTCCAGCTCCAAATTTGACCTAACTACAACCCAAAATGAATTGCAGCGACATCTACGCTCTCACAGATCAGCGACTACAGCATTAACAGTCTCCTTCCAGTGAAAGTGACTTTAACATTTTGAACTCTTTCGGTATTAGAGACAATAGATGTATTGTTTGCTATTAGTTCATATCAAGAATATTTCTTCATTGTGGTATATCACACAAAGGTATGATTTTTCTATCTCTTATTTTGATTTTTTTTAAAATGACAAATTGAAAGTTAGTGCGGAAATTTCAAACGATTAATAACAACACTAATCTAGATTATGCTATATTTCATTTTTTATTGAGTAAATAACCTTGTTATACTTACTGTCATTAACATACATCAGAGTTGCTAAGATTTCTACTACAGAGAATGTGAATGAACCTTTAAATTTAATTCCGTGCCCTAAGCATTTATATCAAACATCAAACCTACTCGTCTTGACCCTTCAAATTACATTAAACATGTTTCGCTACTATCACACATATCGATCGTACCGTATTTGCCTATGTTAAGGAGCATTGTACTTTCCGCTATGCCGTTTCAAACATTGATGCAGAAGTTGTTTGTTTTGTTAGCTCAATGGTGTTCGATAATGTTATTGAGAATTTCTCTTACGTGTTTCATATGAAATCATATGAATGTATACCATAATGTATAATATATGGTATTGTCTTGGCAAAACGCCAAATGTACGGTTCTAATGTCTTCAAACCAGTCAGAAGAGAGTGTCCTTCTATGGTTTTGCAGCATCAAATGATGTTGTAGTGTTATTATGTACGTTTTTCTATAGCTAAAGTGTCTGAACGATTGTTCGACACAGAGTTTTGTAGCAGCTAACGGCCTGCATATTGAATTTTTGACGCAGAGAGAATGCTCTGCATATTGAATTTTGAATGCATAATGCATTTTGAGCAGCTATTGCCTGCATATGATCAACCTCTGAGTAAAGTTTGTTTGAAGGATAACGGTCATACACTCCCTTTTCTTACGTCATAGGTAATGTTAGTAATACACGCTCAGTTTTACAATTTTAATAATGCACTAAATCATGTCGATTCAGTTTTACGATTTTCATGATATTTTCACTTACCGCTCATAGGTTCGATTAAATGCAATTTCATACACACACAGGTCAAGGTTTGATTGCAAATGAACATACGTTATGGTTATTAGAGTAGAATTAACATAACACTAACATTTTC